GCTAGTAACTTTACTAAGCAAATATGTGTACAACTAGGTATTAAACAAGCATTATCAACTGCTTACCATTCAGAGACAGATGGACAAACAGAGAGAGTAAATCAGGAATTAGAACAGTATCTAAGGTGTTATGTTAATTACAGACAAGAAGATTGGGAGGAGTTTATCCCAACAGTAGAATTTGCCTATAATAATAAGCAACACTCTACTACCAAACATACACCCTTTTACCTAATATATGGAAGACATTCTAACATGACTTTCAATTATAGAAAGTCAAATGTGGAAGAAGTAGACAAATACCTAGAGGAAATAAAGATAGCACAAGCAAATGCTAAGGAAGCAATAGAGAAATCACAGGAACAAATGAAAAAGTATACTAACAAACACAGAGGAAATCTCCCAGAATTAAAGGAAGGAGATTTTGTTTTACTAGATAGTAAAAACTTAAATCTAGCAGTACTAACTAGAAAGTTGGCAAACAGGTATATAGGACCATTTGAAATAGAAAAACAAATAGGGGTAGTAAATTACAAGTTAAAACTACCAGAAGGGATGAATATTCATCCAGTTTTCTACTCAGGATTGTTAATACCTTATAAAGAAAAGGAATATTCAGGAAGACAAGTGCATACTAATCCAGACCCAGAGTTAATAAACAAGGAATGGGAATACACAGTAGAAAACATTTTAGATAGTAGGAAAAGGAGGAACAAATATCAATATTTGATCAAATGGTTAGGCTATCCAGACATAGATAATACTTGGGAACCATTTGGAAAAGGATTAACTAATTCAGCAAAGTTAATCAGGGAATTTCACATAAATCATCCAACAGTAGTAAAGCCACTACACTTAGAAAACTGGTTAACAAAGAGACTAGGGCATGGTTTACTAATAAGTAAAAGAATACCAGTTAAAGAACAGGACACAGGAGACATAGTCCTACAAGAAGAACAAATGTGGAAAGACTGGATGAAAAGGAAATCAGAGTTTTCAGAATACTTTAGTATTCTAGCTTCAGATTCAAGTACAAAAGAAATTAGAGAAGGGTTGGAAAAACTTCAGCTGAACAACAAACCTACTACAGAAAACCAACCCCTGAACAACAAAAGGAGAC